ATTAATGAATAAGCGCTGGAACCTTTGAGTTACGGAAAAAGTACCACACATAAATTCTAAAAACAGGTAATGTACTGGATTGCGATGGAGCCATATAGTATGAAGGTTTTTTCCAAGGTGTCCAATGGCGGCAGTGAAAAAGGAGATTCAGAAATACAAGAGATTGAAGTGCACATGAACACAAAACTGAAACACGACATGACCTCTTAGCCCTTCATCATGTGTAAGTGAAAGTGAGAGGCGGAGAGGGCTGTAATGACAGGTAAGGTCGCTACCAGAGGGTAGGCTTGGCGCTCGAAGGACCTAATAGAGTCCTTACGCTCACAAGCAACAGAGCTTGTTTCCCGCGATCTCACATCAACGCACATTCTCTTCAGACACAGGCCAAGCCCTATAATAGGTCGGTAACTCCTAGATCAAATCCTATCCAGTACAAACAAACATTCGTCATTTCCCAGAGGTCAGTCGGGGCCGGTTCATCCTCAATAGTGAATGCATTCGATTCTACAGCGGCTGGCTCCTCAAATCGCTGTATAGCTCGCATTACTTCCAAACACCACTAAGATTTTGAAAAGAACTTAGGATCCGTGGCGCATGTGAAGAAGAGATTCGATCAACACCGTTGGTATCCTACCTTAGTAATATGTACAACCTTGCCCGTAGACTGGGAGGGCGTGGCTGCGCACTTCATTTGGACGTGGCGACCCATGTGCTTTTCGTGGTGTATCGTTGTTTCGAGACTGTTTTCTAGTCTAGCCTTTTTTTCTAGTCGTAAGCATAAGACAAGACGACAGTTGTCACGGGCTGCGTTCAGACTTCGCGATGAAGCGCTTCGGCGCGTCACTTCTGCAACTACATAGGTTTCAATGCTACAGTAATCTTTCTTCACACGTTTCCGCTCGATATTTGATCAGCTTTTTTCAATATTTGAGCCTGAAGCACATAGCACGCCCACCCCATTTTTCGGGAGATAGGGTATACCTTTCGCGCTGCGTTGTGCACCATACTCATCGACAGTAACTCGTGACTTATGTTCAATTTATAGCCTTTACTCTAATTAATTTTTCCTTACTTATGGTCAGTTTTCGCTCGCTGATTTTTCTTCGCTTCCTCTCGTTTCATTACGCCCCCACTCGATGGCAGTTGCTTAGGGCAACAGAGAAGGGAATTGTGGTGGGGGAGGGGTAGAGGGAGAGGGTGGTGGAATCATGACGAACTTTGTCCGACGAAGGCGTGCCTGATCCTTGCTAAGCTATGCCATTCGATCAAACTTCTTTCATTTTCTGTTGCATATGAAGCTTCATAAAGGCAATAAAAATCCGAAATATGAATTTTCTCTCGGTCACTCCGAAACTGCAAAAAGGATTTTACCAACAGATTCCTCTACCCATCCTTACAGGGCATCCCAAACTGAGTACAGTAATCTACAATTTCTTATCATGAAAGTTTTTGTAGGTTTGATAAAGATTATGTGTCGGGTGAGCCTCATTTCTTACTACTTGTTCTTCTAACTGGTGAGTTTTTTCTGCTTGTGAAAGGAGTTGGGGAGATCCCCCCAAATCCTTTCACAAGCAGGTTAGGGGGTGTTTGCTACCAATGAAAACTTCTTCTGAGATGGTTCCAACAGAGGCTATATAATATCAGAAAATCGCACGCAAAACCAGGGCAAACTGTTCATTCACCACCGTGAAATCTGGCTCTTGCCGCATATGGGATGAACGGGTCCGCAGCCGCAGTAGCGTGCTCTTTTCTCCGGTCAAAAGCGCATGGGAATGGATTTGGAGAGTAGTAGTGCCCGAGTGCCGTCTCCATACTCCGCCCGCGCTGCCGCGCGGCCTGCCTCACGCCCAAAAGCTAGCCATACACCGTGTTTCCCCTGCATCACGGAGTTTGGAAGCATTTCAACTGAAGCACTTCATAAACCCAGTTTAGCATCGATTTCAAAGTAAATTCACAGGTGACATTGTTCCACTACTTGTGCTTATTTCAGACTACCGTCCCAATGAAGAACATTGTGACTTCATTGGACTTTTTACTGTCTGCATCGTTATGCTCTTCTCAACTCGTTTTCGCTGTTGTCAAGACAATAGCAAAAGCGATGGATACACGTGTAGGTCCAGCTAACGACTGCTCATTTGGTGAGTCGGACTCACATTTCCGAAGGTTACTGCCACCTTTGCAACCCGAATATTTTAATGCTCGCACCGCAGTGCAAGTTTTGCGTAAATAGGCATTTATACACTGGGAAATAGCATTTGTAAGGGAATGGGAAATAGAGCGCGAGAAATCTGTTTCTTGTCACCGGTTTCTACTCTGAGACGCTGGTATGGAGGGGCGCGCGAATGAGAGAATGCGCTTTCTGACCCCGCCTCTACGATCAGAGCGGTTCTCTGTAGTATAGCCGCGAACAGCCGATTGGCAGATGTGTACGCGAAAAATGAATATTCATCCCAAAATGAATCCCAGTTTTGAGGTGAGCGTGCTGATAGGGCGGAATTTCATCTTTTCGCAGCTTCTCTGGTGAAGCGGTGGTCTGTAACGGTGAAAGACCTCTTAACGCGCCCTGTCCATGAGTTTCGTCCTTGCCTTCATCTCGGGTCAGCTCCTGCTCAGCCGGGACACGATAGAATTGTAGGTTGCCGCTTCGTCGGGCGCGGCAACAAATGCGACGTTTTCTTGATTAGCACTACCCATTTGATAAGAGCACTGGATTTCATGTAGACAAGAACACGGATGACCTTTACGTCTCTTTTTGGTCATACGTTGTCTATTCGACCAATAGCCCTATGATGTCACTAGGAGGGCGCGACGTCGCACGCGACGCCCACTGTCGCGGCGAATTACGATTCTCTTGCCACATGCCCTGCTCAGCCCAATCAAGCCTTTAATTCCACGGTAAATTGATCGCACATTTGTCTGGGAGGTTAAGAACATTGACTTCCGTATCGGCTGGCCCCGCCGCCACAACTTTGAATGGAAACAGAATGAGTCTTCATTCCAAGGAAGGATCAATCAACAGCGGAAGCTGTATCTTTTTCCTCTAACCTTCTAACGCGAATAGCGCAGTGGGTGAAACTCGACATCTTGTACAGCTCTCAAGACTTGAGTTTGCTCAAGCCACGGCAGGCTTTCTTCCCATTGATTGGGGAGGGGGTCACCTCCCATCAGGGATGCTGCAGTATCTCATGAAAACCTGAGTAGCGCTCTATGATCAATTTCGAAGAGCAGGCCATGGGCGTGCACGGAATCACCCTTACCATTGAGCATTACTCACTGATGCACCGCTCCTTCAAATCCTGTGAAGAGGTAAGGGAACCAATGAGAAGGGCGCAGTAGCGGACTGTCTCCGCCCACAGGAAGTGCGAAGACTGCGCAACTATAAATGCCAAGGGATTCCCATTCCATACATTTTCTATGAGATGTGCTTTCAGACGACTTTATGTGCGCATTTTGGTTTCTCGCTTTCTGTGGATGTATAACAAGGAGACGTTATATTATTGTATTCACAACGATGGCTATGTTTTACACATTTGTACTTGCTTTTAAATGGTCAACTGCAGCTTCATACAGCGTTAGTATTCCAAAGCGTTTGATTTTTAGAATCAGTTGTCTGAAAAGCAGATACGGTAGGGCGCCTACTAGCCAATTTCTGCGAGCTGGTGCTGCGGATGGAGGTATGGGATCACGAGATCCTTGTTGCGACGATAATGAGCGGGACATCGCACCTCACCTTACCAGTTCCGGTGCATCTTGCATTTGAGCGCTCTCGAGCGCCGCCGGCCATAGGGGATGCTTGTGAAGCCCCTCCCCCATTTCATCCAGGCTGCATTGATTCGAGTCTTTACAGCCTCGTCCACGCGATCATTAGCAGTATGTCGAGCCCCATGTACAGGAAGTCCTCGACCCTTTGAATGCTTTCGCTCTGCAGGTCTCGGTGGGCTTGGAGCACTCTTCAGGACCTTGGTGATCCATTTTTTTGCACATCCTGGCACCCTTGCACCTTGCTTTGGAGTTGTTCTTTCTTGCTAGACGCTACCAGGGCAGGCGTCGGAACGACTTTCAGCGGGTCCCTCCATAAATTCTTTTATGATGACATCCAGAGTTAGACGAACCCAAGCCGATGATTGATATACCCCAAGTATTATGTCTACTTCTTTTGCCAAGCCGTGTGGGTGCCTATCTCTGATTTATTCAAAACTGGTCGGTGAGTAGAAGAAGAAGAATATTGGTGGAGATTAGTACTTCATAATACGTTTGATCTCAATGCCCTGTTTACAGTCGTGATCGCTGGTGTTCGCTGGGACGTGTCAGCGGCGCGCAGGGTTTGGCGCGGTGCCAGTCTGTTTTCAATCGGTCCTTGGATCTTACAATTAGGGCATCAATGAGTTGTGGAAGAGTGCCGCTCCCACATACCACATCAAAACTCACGCGCTGCTAAATTGCCTAACTTCAGTCAGTGACGTGTTCACTCTAACGAGCTGTGCAACAATTATTCTCCAATGGGGACCGAACTTAGCGTACAACTAATCGAATTTGGATCCCCCCCTAGTACTTCTCTCTTTTCAGTACTTCACTAATACACCTCTGTCATGTACCAGAGAAGTCCGTCAAACTTATCCAAGATGGTGCCAGAATGCGGACATAATGTTCCTTGCAGCCAGCATTGTTGCCATTATAATCTCGGTAAATGCACGGATCCTTCACTTTTCTTAATCTTCCATCAAAATGTCCCATTTCCAGCTTGCTGCCTCAATGCTATCCGCAGTACGCCTCTGGTCGGATGAGGATGATTTTGAAGAAGAGTATGAAGCGGAAGATTCCTTACTGGGAGAAACAAGAAGGCCCAGAGGGACGAAGATCAGCGCTTTCAGATACTCAATCGATCGCTAACTGACTGTTCCACTGAATGATCTGAGATAAATCAGGGACTTTAATGTTGTTATTCTGGGAAAGAAGAAGGTGAAACATTGCTTCGAAGAAGCGAAAAGTAAGGATTCCCATGATTTATGACGACGCGATTGTCGTGCACGGATGGCCGAGTGGTCTAAGGCGCCAGACTCAAGAGCATACTTACCGCGAGACAGCGGATTGAGCGTTCTGGTACTCGTATGGGTGCGTGGGTTCAAATCCCACTCCGTGCAAATTTTTGCGCAAGATACATCGCATGCACTTGTTCTTTTCCAGAAAATTTCAAATTTCGGTTAAAGTTTGAGCGCTCCCAGCCTGCTAGGACTAAATACAGCCGGCACACTTTGCATTTATTCTACCAGTCGGATCGCCCGGCTGACGCCGAGCTCTCCTCCTTCTTTTCAGCTCGGCTTCGCCGAGCTGGCCTGGCTTCGCCAGGCGCACGGAAAGGAATTTGTTAATTGCCTGAGCTGCTCATATTGCGCGCTAGTGGTCGAATCATAATAGACAGAGTAACCTAGCGAAATCTGCACCCCTCATATTTGCAAAGGCCTGCTGGTTTCGGCCATAACGCCCATTCTATACGTAGATCTTAGAAGTATATAGGAAGTACAGAATATCAATATGTGTTGCACAGTAGATGAACAAATTCCGTTTTTATTACCTGCATCACAACACCAACGGTGGGCGATTAACTTGCATTAAAGGCAGTTGGCACGATAAATCGCTATACAGGTGTAGGATTTGTACAACTGGCTTAACAGAATTCCGTGACCTCGGACAGGCGCTGCGTGAAGCCTTTTCCAAGGAGGGTACCTCTATAACGCCCTATTGAGCAACAACTTTACGTCCCAAACGCCTTCCTTGCCCGCCCGCCTACTTTTGGACGTATAGGATCCCTCCACGAGGACGTGCCGCTTTGGACCGTTTTCGTGGTGGGATCCTACGTGTAATGTGGCGTGACGTAGGAAAAAAATTCCTTCTTCCAGTAGTGCGCATTTTGGTTTCTTATTTTTTTAGTACTATGTAGACATTTGAAGTTTATTTGATCTCTGATGTCTCTATGTCGATTAAGATTTTATTTCTTATTTTCAAAAGCAGAAGAAATGCGGTAAGAAGAATTCAGGGGCATTTTGTTTTGTGTCAACTAGTGCGATCGATCGTACTGCTGTTTATTTATTACTTTTCATCGATTTTTTTAATCCATCGTTGATTTGACCAGACTTTACTGTACTAGGTGGGTGATTCTGCAGTTGTAAAGATTTCTCATGCGTTAATGCCTTTAAACATATCTGATCTTCTTTGAAACGCAATGCAATGATCATGATATTGCATTTACAATGATGATACACACTGCTATTCTTTATTTTAAGAACTCTCGAATCAACTCGTACTTAATATTAAGACTGTATTTTCTGCAATCTTGCCCTAAACTGTAGTGATAAAGCAATAAAATAGGGT